ACTAGTACCTCCGAGGTACTAGTTTCCGGAAACCGCGGGGCAAGGGTGGGCATCTGATCGCGTTTCCGGTGGCATCCGGCGCCCGCCCATGTCCCCTCGCAAAAAGGTTTTTTCCCCCAAGTCTCCATGGGATGCGCACAAGCACCCAACGGAGCATGCGCACATTTCAGTTTTTTTTTTAAAAAAAACAACCCCGTTTGCCGCCCCGCCCCACTTCTTTGCCGCGTGGTGTGATCGGCACCTCCCCCCTAACCACGGGACCTCGACGGGACCTCAACCAGGCGCCTGATCGCGCTGTCACGTGTTATTTTACTCCGGGGCAAACAGCCACGCTCCCTCCCCCCCGCATTTTCCGGCCCGTGTGGCCGAGGCCGTGGTTACCCATCTTGATCTGGACTTCCTTGATGGCCTCCCATCCAAATAACTACCCAGGGCCAACCTTGCTTAGCTTCTGAGATCTGAGGAGATTGGGCTAGCCTGGGCCGTCCAGGTAAGAGCCTTGCTTGGCTACAGACTCGTTTAAAAAGGTATTGAGCCAGAGGGCTATACAGCAGTCACATGCTTTGACCTGAAATCCTTCCCTCTAATCCCAGACACATGTGGATGATGCGGTGGACAAGAAAGACTGTGACCCAGATAGCCCAGGCGAGCCCTTGGAAGCTAAGCAAGATCAGCCCTGGTTAGTACTTGGATGGGAGACCAGCAAGGAAGTTCAGGGTCGCTATGCAGAGGCAGGCAAGGGCAAACCACCTCTCGTCGTCTCTTGCCTTGAAAGCCCTACAGGGTCGCCATAAGTTGGCTGCCACTTGATGGCGCTTTCCACCACCATGGGAAAGGCCCCTTCCCTTTCAACAAAATTATATCGTATCCCAGTTTGCAGAGCCATAGCGATAAAGACAGGCTCTGGAGCTAAGCCTGGACCAGGCCTGACTCAGATGCAACCCTCAACCTGTCTTGTGTCTTGCTGACTTCTGGATAAGCCCAACCAAACCTGACCGCTATCTTTGCCTGAAAAGGACGAAGGTTTTCAGCAGCCAGAGACTCACCTGTCCCTTATCCATCAGGTCCATCAGTGACTATGAGCCACAAGGTGTCTCTTATGTTCTTATGTTATCAATATTGTAGGGTTACAAGCCCTGGGTTGGGAAGTTCCTAGAGATTTGGAGGTGGAGCCTGGGGATACCAGTGTCTGTAGACTTGAGGGACCTCAGCGGGGTATAATGTCATAGAGTCCACCCTCCAAAGCAGCCATTTCCTCCAGGGGAACTCATCTGCATCATCTGGAGATCAGCTGGAAGCAACAGGTAAATTGGAGAATACGCAGTCCACCTCTTCTCTGAAAGAAAAGAACGTTTGCTGGTGAAACAGCTGATAGAATACACATTCCCTTGTACATATTTCTGCTGTTCAGGCACAGAACAAGGCAAAGTAAAGACTGGAGGATGTATTCTCCGTAAAGCAAATATTGTAATGCCCTTGTGGCAGTGAAGCCTCACAAGTTGATGGGCTGAGCTGCTGTGATAGCATGGAATCTTCCAAACACTTGGGAACGAAACTGTCAGTGTTTGCAGTCCAGTTTCTGTGAGGGAAAGGAAAGTTGTCTGGCTGGCTGAGATTAAATTCCAACACGGGATATAGGTCCAAGAGGAGCTTTAAGGGGTAAGGCTGTGAGAAGTTAAGAGGGAGGAAAATAGAAAGCAATATGGGTAAAGGTAGGTGCAGTGTACCATCAGATGAAGGAAACGGAAAGAAGGGTAGATGGAAGAGAGAGAGAGGCTAGGGAAAAGGTCAGCAGAAGCTAAAGAAAGGGCTCCAAAGACACCTCATCAGTCAGAACAAGAAAAGGTTAATTTTAAAAATGACACATTAGGTTTTGCGTGCACAAAGCTTCCTCATACTGAGTCAGGCCATTGGTCGATCAGTTCCCCCTGTTAGTATTATCTAATCCGGGGGGCACCAACCTATTTGAGCCTGTGGACACATTTGGAATTTTGACAGGGGGTAGTGAGCCGAAAAATGGCTTCCACAAGAGGTGGTGCCAAATCCTACATGGTTTCCACAGGAGGCGGAGCCAAATGGAATACCTCCCTCTTTGTACCTCCTGGGAAGAAGGAAAGCCTGTAGGGGGAGTGAAACCACATGGATTGAGAAGCCCAGGTGCCTACCAGTTCTGATCCTCCACTGAAAACACTTTCCTTCACACGATCTCTCTCCTTGGTTTGAAACCACCTAGAGTTGGGCAACCCTACGCCCTCCCCAAGTTCCACAT